GTGATCTTGCACACATATGTTGAAAATACATTGCCCTCTCTCTCTCTTGCCTTTGTTGCAGAAAAAACCAGAATCCAGGGGCCAAAAGTGGTCGGCCGACCAGGTTTTCTGGCCAGCCGACCACCTTTTTTGGTTCCCACCACAAAGGGTGGTCGGCAGGTGTCTCCCAAGCCAATACCTGGTCGGCAGCCTTCCCAGGGTGGAGTTTTAGCCTTCTGGAGCTTTGTGCAAGTTTCTGAGATCAATTGCAAACAAGGGTGAGGCGAGGCATCGCGATGGAATTTACCGACAAGGCGACTCGAGCATGCATACACCTTTTATCATTCGGAACAGAGCTAAGGCGGTCCATTTAGCTTGCATGCTAATTTATTTGCTTTTCTAGTTAATTTGTTGATTAATTAGGGTTTTGTAATATTTAATTAGCTAGAGTAGTTAATTATTTATTCAGACTGTATTATTTATCCGGACCCTCCGAGCGAGGGCACAATTGTAATAAGGTGCGTGTGTGTGATGTATGTCTTCCAACCCTACGTCTTTCTCCCTTTTATTACCAGCTTATGATGGTTAGTTTAGGAATGTTTCAATTAGCATACTATGATAGCATGTTTGCATTCACTTCATTCTGTCTTGTTATGCAAACCTGAGCTCGGCGCATCATACTAACTGCATTGTATTTCAATTCCGAGTTGAATACGTGTATCAATTGTTGCATTTCATATGCCATCTTAGAATAGCTGAGCCTATCTTAGTTGCATTCCTGCATGTATTGCATTAGGCATTTCAGCATAGTTAGGATCATGCATGGATTTCTAACATAGCTTCTGTTTTGGCTTGGAGTACTCGGTTAGTGTTTATGCTTTAGCATCTTTGCATGTGTGTGAGTGACTGCCATGATAGAATGCTTACCATGAGGCTATGTGCTTATGTGATATATTTGCTTGAATGCGTGTGGGGTGAAGGTTGGATTATCTGAATTGGAATAATGCATTAACTGTGAGTTTTAAGCCCACTAGATAGTGGTAAAACCATGTTTCCTAAGCCCACCCGAGGGTGGCAAAATCTGCATTTTTAGCCTACTTACGAGTAGCAAACCGCTTTAAAAAATAAACATGAAATGTTTTGTTCCAATTCAGGCGATCCAGTCTATACTTGTATGTTGTGCGCATCACATAGTAAATCTAGGCTAATAACCGGAATAAGAACGCATAATGATTTCAAAACTAGATATCATGGTTAGTAGAGGCTGATCTTTGATCGGGCGAGCGAGAGTGCTCACGAAGTGACCTTCCCCAATCGTACCCAAGTTCTCGAGCCAAGGCAACTTTGGTGATGACAGACACGTGGCCTTAGGCAAACGAGTCAGGGTTTCCTAAATTTCCCAAAATAAGATATTTAGGTGGCGACTCTGTATCTAGCAAAGCAGTCCATGTTTGTCACTTCTTTCAAAAAAATCTATTTTCAAAAAACGATTTGCCGGATCTGGACTCTTTGATGATTCATCGGTCTTGCATTGCACTCTGCGAGATTAGATACAGGACCGTGTCTTTTGAGTCTGAACTGTAGTGAGCCCATATGAACAAAACGGGATTCCCTCCCGGGACGTTCGGGGACGTCTACACTATCCGTTGCAGAATATCTCCGATTTCTGTACTCTCTATAATAAGATCATATTGTTGCATTTTCTCTTCGTCAAATTCCATTCATGTGGGGGATTGTTGGAAATATAGGCTTATTTTGGGTCAACTTTGAGCCCAAATTTGAATAGGGCCCACACGTCTTTTGGGGTGGATCCAAAGAGGTAACGTGTTCCTTGCCGCATGGCAAGTCACATGGTGCAAACGGTTTGTCAAAATCATTTATGTGTGAATGAGAAGTTGACGTTCTTTTCGGGTTCACGAAATGGCAAATTTAAGAGTCAAATGTGGGTTTCCTTAAATGGTTGTCCCACATTGAAAACTGAGGAGAACTTATGTGTGTATATAAGTTCTAGGTAGCAATATTTGAGTTGGGCTCCAACGGGCACCCCAAGTTTTGTGAAGGAAGGAGTTAGGGACAAAGTAGGCTTTGGCCCAAACCACCACACACGGGCGCGCACCGTTCGACAGACTGGGCCGGTTGTGAGTTGGGTCATAACATTAATTTTTTGGACAAAATTTATTTGAATTTTTTTCAACATTCTTGTAGGAAAATTTGAATTTTGCACCAAACAGTTTGAATTCAAAATTTTGCTCCCAACCAGCTTGACTTTCACACTAGTTCGAATGTCTCTTCTATTTTGCCCGACAGTTTTCAACAGATCAAACTGGTTTCAAATAGATTTTTTCACCTGTTTAGTTTGAATTTGCATCTATTTGGATCTTTCCAATAGTCACCAACTATGCCTATAAATACAGAATCATTCCAGCAGATTTTCTCAATCAGAAAAATCAATTCTCTTCACATTTTTACCCTCTTTGCATTATTATTCATACTAGTTTTTAGAGAGTATAGAACACAGGTTCCAGTTCACCGAAACAGACTGCTATTAGTGCTAATATAATCATTGAAAGATCGTTGTATTTTGGGAGGTAGACGCCATTATTCCGTAAGCACCTATGCGGGGCAAATATCTCTTAAAGACAGAGTGTCACATATTCGACTTCATCATTTTTGTACTTATTCGTTTCAATAAATAATTTTTTAAGTAATATTTTTATTTATTTGATTTGTTTCACATTATTTTCTCATACACAAAAGATTTTTCTTTTTTTCTTTTTTTTTGTCAGGAACTTTTTGCCTTGTAATCTCAATGATCAACCACCCTATCAGTTTACAAACAAATGTGATCATTCCATTAGGTTACAAACAAATTATAAAGTAAAATACCACCATGTAAGTTAACGTCCTAAGAGCATCTCCAATGGAGCTGCTATATCACTTGTCAAAACTAAAAGATGACAGGAATGGCAAAAAATTGTCTCCAACGGGCTGTTATTTCACTTGCCAAAGATGGTAGATACCATATATGTTCTCAAATTTGGCAAATGAAATAGCAGATGCCAAGCTTGCCAGAGCAGCAAAAATCAACAGGAATTTGGCACCAAATTCAGTTGAAAACAACAGAATTAATCTAGTAGGGAACCTATTTTTCAAAATCAAACCCAATTTTTAGAATCAAGCAAATTTCGGAATGGAATTAACAAACCCAAATTCGGTTTCTCAAAAAAAAAAATTTAATTCATTTATCACCATATCAGTCAATCCAAATTAGATGGTATGCATTCACAATAAACCAAACGAAATCAGATAATCCAATATTACAATAAAATGATCAGAAGTCCAAAAATTTGCAAAATGAAGTTTGAGAGGGAGATAGATTTCAAAACATATATATATATATATATATATGCCTCCGTTTGGGAAGTGGGTTGGCTTTTTGACTTTTTGGCTTTTTTGGCTATTTTAGCCTGGGCTAAAAAGCTTGGTTTGGGAAGGACTTTTTGACTTTTTGACTTTTTAGCTTTTTTTGTGAGAGAAGAATGTAATAATTATGGGTTGGATGTGATGTTTTGTTTTTTGTGCCTAAAATAGCTTATTTTGTCTTTTGTGGCTAAAATAGCCAAAAAAACCCACTTTAGTTCTTCCCAAACGGACCCTATATATATTTGCAGAATGAAGATTGATTGATGAACAAAAATTGATCAAAAAAAATAATTAAGAAAATTTGAAAAACACATACCATATTTAAATCTTTTGAAGATCCGGTTTGAATCCATCGGCAGTTTTGAGTTTCAAAAATCACGATCACCTCAAATCTACATCAACAACTAGAAAAATAAAGCAAAAATCAAAGAGACAGGGAAGGGGTTTCGATCATGGAGAAGATCATGGAAGGGACCGAGAGAGAGAGAGAGTCAAAGAGGGGTTTCAATCATGGAGGAGAAGGGGGAGAAGGGGTTTCGATCATGGAGAAAAAGGGATAGTGGTTTGAGAAGAGGGAGAGAGTGAGAGTGGGAGAGAGAGAGAGAGAGGGGTTTTGACCATAGAGGACAAGGGGGAGTTGTTTGTGCTCGGTCTGGTTTGAGAGAGAGAGAGAGAGAGAGCGCTTTGTTCTTCGAAGAAAGAGAGTGAGGCGGTTCAGTGAGAAGCTTCGATATGAGAGAGAGAGAATGAAAAAGATGGAGACAGAGCCCATATTGTTTGAAAAGGAAGACTTCGGTGTTCAATGTCAATTTATTTTAATATATTTTTCTGTCAATGTAATTTTATTTTTTTTAATTTATTATGATTTTTTTTTTTTTTATACTTGGGGATATTTCAATGTATTTTTTAGTTTTTTATTATTTACCAAAAGTTATTTTTTAATTTTGTAATGTCATTTCTTTTTAATGTAATTTTAAGTATTTTATATTTAAATTTATGGGTGAATTATATTTAATTTTTATTTGGAAATTTTTTAATTTTTTTAATTTTTTATATTTTTCTAGTTCAGTATAATGTAAATATATAATTTTTTTTTACAAACAATTAAAAAAAGCTCACAAGAGACAAAAAAATAAACAAAAAACAAAATTCACTATAAAACCTATATTCAAACAACACTTATAAATTTAAAGGGAAAGTTGGTTGAAATTTACTAAAATAACATGTAACCATTAGAACACCATTGTTATAATTTGACAAAATAATACTATTTATTGTCAAATTATAACAATGATAATGTTATTTTAGCAAATAGCATTGGAGTTGCTCTAAGGAGTACATTGAATTGTGGCCCCAGACTAAAGTTGTTACATATATGCGATTTTAGTTATTGTTTTTTACCCCCAAAACAAAAAAACAAAAAAAGTTAAAACATTTCAAAGATTATACATGGTCTTAGAATATTATTCCATAGTTTTTATCACTTTGACACTTATTAACGTTTCTCTTAAAATTTTAAGAAAAAATACCAATCCTACAACTCTAATAAATAAATATCAAGTTAAGGCATGAGAATTTGGCCCAAGACCAAGGCATAATTTTTCTCAAGGATTGTGATATCAAAGATTATAGCCATGCATTTGGCTAATTAGTTACAAGTCCATGGAACAGTTACAAATTAAAAGTGTCTTGCAAACTTGTACAAAAGGTTGAGATTAGTACAAAAGACCAAACCAAAGCAAAAGAGTGATGTTAGAAACAAGGAAATCCAAACAAGCCCTTAGAGAAAAAAGTGTGGAACCCTCTCCTCCTTTCGTCTTCAATAAGCCTCGTGCTCTCCCTGCATTTCCCATTAAACATTCACAAATGGAAATCAAAGACACACACATGAAACAATTAAAATTAAAACAAGAACAAATTTTAGGGAAAATGAAAGATTTAAGAGTGGAATTTAGCTCACTTTCTTGGGGGTAATAAAGTCCACAAACTTTTTTTTGCCCTTGCTCTTGCCATTGGGAGACTTGTGGGGAGGATCTGTTGCTCCATATTTCCTGAGTTTCTCTCTCACAAACCTCTCATATATGAAAGCTGCGCCCCTGAACTGTGGCAGAACCAACCATGCCACAAATGCTAGCTTTATATCATACCATATTGGTATCCTACAATATTAAAAGCCAAACCCATAATTACATAATCTGAAAAAATATTAATTATTACATAATTTGAAAAAATACATATATTTAAAAACTTGCCAAAAAGAAAAATTTATAGCCTAGATTCTTTCTAATAAATATAAGAACATGCTATTCAAATTCAAAATTCAGTTTTTAAAACCAATGATGTGGAAATCAAGATTTAAAAAGTAAACTTATATATCATCCTCCTAAATACAACAAGATGACCTCGGCACAACGACCAAGACACGTGGCACGTCGGCTGACACGTCGGCGTCACCTTGCCACGTGTTGGTACTCAGAAAATATATCCCCACAATATATAAATTTATAAATGGTGAGGGATGTAAGATGATACATTCATTAAAAATTAAGAGGATCTAATCGTAATTAATTTTATTTTATAATCATCAAGTTGAAATAGTTATTAACTTATTAATCTAAATATATATATTTACAACTAATTTTGTTATGAGGATTATATACCATTGTAGGATGGGTTGGAGGAGCATCTCCATGAGAGTGAGGAATGAATAAAGGATCCAGTAAGCAAGCCACTGCTCATCATCCACCTTTGATGGGCTTTCTATTGCTATTACCGATGCATATCTACAAAATACCCAAACCATTGAAGAAAAAAAGATGAGCAGCTATAGTAGAAAATAGAAAGAAACAAGCATTAATTGGTCGAAGCCAGCTATAGTAAATTATAACTAGAAAATATTTAAATAAATAAAAAAAAAAAACTAATAAACTTACAAGGGGTACAACAGCATCGTAGCTGGCCTGCATGGATAATTCACAAATTAAAACGAAAATTAGATCACTAAATTCAAAAAAAATGGATAAACAGCATGTAGAAGGAGTTCTATTCTATCCCCTTGTTTTTGGATGAAAAATATTTTTTAATTTTTTGATATAATGAAAAACAAAAATTAATGAATGAAAAATGAGAATATCATAAAAAAATATTTTTATTCTAAACAAATGGAGTTTTAAAAGGCAAAAATTACCCAGCAAGTACGTGAACATGGGTGATCAACGTCCAAAAACGACCCATATCTTGGTCACCCTTTTTTGCTTGTGTTTTTGGGGAGTTTCTGAAGGGATTTGAATAAACGAATTGCAACTAAGAAGAATTGCAACTAAGAAGAAGAAGAAGAAGAATAGAAACTGAGTCAAAAAGTGAACTAGGTTTCGACTGTCAGTGAGAAAAACAGAAGACTTGGATTCAGAGGGATTTGGGCAATGAAAGATAAAGTTTTGATTAAGACAGAGAGAGAGAGAAGTTAAAAATGGTGGAAGGGGAGTGACAGCATTTTATAAGGGGAGAGATGAGAGGGACACGTGGAGAGATGGGCGGTGGCATTGGATTCTGCCTTCAACGTGGCGACCGACCTTTTCGATCGCACCGTCCACTTGTGATTTCCGATCAGATCTCGACCCACTATACATCTATGAAGGTCCGGCACTAGATAATTTGTACTGGATCCGTTAAATTTTTCTTATGATAATTTTAAAATAATTTTACAAAAATTAAGGTAACAATCTAAAGAAGTAACTTATTTAGTGGTGTTTTGGAAAGTTGGTAAAAAATTAAGATTATGTTTGGTAGAATTTTGTAAATATGATTTGAAAGTATGAGTTATATTTTGAGTTTGTGAGTTGTGGAATTATGATTTGAGTGTAGAAATTTTGTTGGTTATGATTTTTAAATAGAGTGTTGAATTGAGTGTGGAATTGAGTTTTGAAAGTTTGATTTGACATGTGAAGTAAGAAAAATTGTTTAGTTATGAGTTTTGGAAAGAGTTTTCAAAACTTAATTCAAATTATTATAACTCATAACAAAACACACTATTTTTATACTATTGAAAATTCTGATCAACACTCATAACCAAACTCTTTTTAAAATTCAATTAAAAAAATTTATTATTAATAGAAAATAATATTAATCAATTTTTTAATTGAAAATACTACAAAGGAAATAATTTTTTTTCAAAATAAATATTCAGAAAAATTAAATCATAAATATTTAAATAATTTAAATAATCTAAAAAATTTAATAAGTAAAAAATTAAAATAAATATTCAAAAAATTTAAATCGTAAAAATTTAAATAATTTAAATATTCAAAAAATTTAAATAATTTAAAATGTTAATATTTTAAATTTAAAAACAACTCTACACTCAAATCGTAACCTAATACACAAAAACAAAACTCAATTAAAAAATTATTTAAAACTCATAACAAACCATAAACTCGAAACTCCATACTACTTTCACAACTCTACACCAAATCGTAAAAATACATAACAACAAAATTAAATATTTAAAAATATTTTACAAATAGTGTTTGAATTTATTTTTATAAAATATTTTAAAAAAAAATAAATCAAAATTGAAATTAAAATATTTAAAAAATTAAAATATTGATTTGAATTGAGTTTTGAAAAGAGTTTTGAATTATGTGTTTGGTTATACGTTTTGAAAAGTAATGATTATGTTTTGAATTGAGTTTTGAGAAATAGGTATAGAATTATGATTTGAAAGCTCAAAACAAACAACACACTTAAATTAATGGGTGAAACTATAATTCGAAAATCTTACCAAACGGAGTCTAAATTTTTGACTTTTTAAATTTATTTTGTCTTTGTGTGAGTAAAAAATGTGAGAGGTGACGGAATCCAAAATGAATAATTCTATTTTCACACACTATTCACACTTTGTGAACATCTTTCTCAGTGCACACACTTAATGAATTTGTTTATTTTTTGTTTTACTCATTCCACGCATAAAATGTTCCAAATATGCCCAAAATTTGGGAACTTATTTTTAGGTTTTTTTTTTTTTTTTTTTCACCAAAAAAAAAATTTTTTAAAAAATAAAAAAAAAAAAAATCCAAAAACAAAATATCATATCAAACCCGAATAGGGTTTAGTCCAAACACGGGAAACGAGGGACATTTCGTACTCCAAAGTGACGAAATGTGCCTCGATTCTCCAAACAAAAAAAAAAAAAAAAAAAATCTCCAATAATATCATACAACCAAAAAAACCTACAAAAAAAATTCACCTTCCAAACACCCACATAATGTGTACAAAAATTCTAACATATTATGTATACACACCACATAAAACATAAACTCCCACCACACTCCTAAGTCTAAGTCAAAACCTAAACCATGCCCTACACAAAACATTTTTTTCGGCACACTCTAGCAATTTTTTGACCATATTTACTACGGTATGCAAAAAAATAAATAAATAAATAGATTATATTAAATTAAATCAATAATTTTTTGTATTATTTTACTATTATTCTTCAAAAACTAATACTTTGTTTTTTAAGTTTTCAAAAATATTTTTGTTAATTTTAAAATTTTGTATTTTTTTTTAGTAAACTTTTTACATATTTAATCAACCTTTTATTTTTTAGAATCACTTAATTTAGATACATTTAAAAATTAAATTATCTGCCAAAAATCTTTAAAAAAAATAATAAATACAAAAAAATATGTACTGAATTTTTATATTTTTGTATACTTTTTAAGTGTATTTAAATTAAGTGAATTCAAAAAAAAAATAATTAGAATATTAAAAATCTTCACTAAAACAAAATAATACGAATTGAAATTTCTAAAAATTATTTTTCAAAACTCAAACTGAACTGAGTGTAAGTTATTATTATACTATTTTTATTATTCGTTCCATATTGACTAGCAATGAGATAGAAATAATTTGGTACTGGTTATCCAAATACATTAAATATATTCGACAATCAACAACTGAATCAAACAATAATTTTTTATTCTCTACTTCTGAACCAAATATAAATTTTCGACATATAACCATTTTTTAAGTTTGTTTTCGAATATATAAAATGTTTTCAAAAGTTAATTTCTGTATAGGTGCAACATTTTCAAAACTAATTTTTAGAAAAAATACTTCTGAACAAAAAAACTCACCTATTCGTTGCCTAATTTTTTTTTTATTAACAATCATTTTTTTTTCTACATCAAAACATTCATTGTTTTGTAAATCCTCCATCATACAAATCAATAGTAACGGTGTGGTGTAATGGAATAATTTTATAAGTAATGGATAACGAGCGAAAAGTTGAGCAATATCGGTCAAATCTATGAGAAACAATGAAGGAATAGTAAAGTGAACAATGATCAATGGAGGGAGTGTGAAAGAAATAAAAATATTAAATATTAAGTCTGATGTGTGTAGTTTTCGAAAAAAAAAAATGTGTGCGGAGAATTTCCATATAAAAGATGTGTCGTAAGAAAATTTAGTTTTAAGGATTGATGTGTGTATGGATGTCCGTATTGGCCATTTTGTTTAGTGATTAAATTATAAGAAAAAATTAATTCATTAAGTGTGGCACAGAAAGTAAATGATGTGTGGAAATAGAATTACCTTTAAGAATTTCAATTTTTTTTTTTTTTGTCAACCATATCGAATGACAAATCTAACAAGGCAATATTTGTAATTTTTCAAAGGATGAATTACGCTAGCAGTCTCTATAGTTTGAGTTTTTTTTTTTTTTTTTTTCACTACAAGACAAATGTTTTACAAAATTAAAAAAAAATAAATCCAAACAAAATATCACATCAAACCCCATAATCATTTCACTTTTTGTCTCACAAACATCACATCCAACCACAAAAAAATCCAACTATCTTCCCAAACACAAAAAAAAAAAAATAAAAAAATAAATTCTCCAATAATATCATACAACCTACAAAAAATTCACTTTCTAAACACCCACGTAATGTGTACAAAAATTCCAACATATTATGTATAAACACCACATAAAACATAAACTCCCACCACACTCCTAAGCCTAAGTCAAAACCTAAACCATGCCCTACACAAAACATTTTTTTCGGCACACTCTAGCAATTTTTTGACCATATTTACTAAGGTATGCCAAAAAAAGCAAAAAAATAAATAAATAAATAGATTATATTAAATTAAATCAATAATTTTTTGTATTATTTTACTATTATTCTTCAAAAACTAATACTTTGTTTTTTAAGTTTTCAAAAATATTTTTGCTAATTTTAAAATTTTGTATTTTTTTTTTAGTAAACTTTTTACATATTTAATCAACCTTTTATTTTCTAGAAACACTTAATTTAGATACATTTAAAAATTAAATTATCTGCCAAAAACATTTAAAAAAAATAATATGTACTAAATTTTTATGTACTGAATTATCTGCCAAAAAAAATAATATGTATTGAATTTTTATGTACTGAATTATAATCTTTAAAAAAAATTATCTGCCAAAAAAATATGTACTGAATTTTTATATTTTTGTATACTTTTTAAATGTATTTAAATTAAGTGAATTCAAAAAATAATAATTAGAATATTAAAAATGTTCACTAAAACAAAAGAATACAGATTGAAATTTCTAAAAATTATTTTTCAAAACTCAAACCAAACTGAGTGTGAGTTATTGTTATACTATTTTCATTATTCATTCCATATTGACTGGCAATGAGGTGGAAATAATTTGGTTCTAGTTATCCAAATACATTAAATATGTTCGACAATCAACAACTGAATGAAACAATAATTTTTTATTCTCTACTTCCGAACCAAATATAAATTCTTAGCATATAACTATTTTTTAAGTTGATTTTCGAATATATAAAATGTTTTCAAAAGTTAATTTCTGTATGGGTGCAACATTTTCAAAACTAATTTTTAGAATGATAATTGTGACAATGAAAAAAAATACTTCTGAACAAAAAAACTCACCTATTCGTTGCCTAATTTTTTTTATTAACAATCATTTTTTTTCTACATCAAAACATTCATTGTTTTGTAAATCCTCCATCATACAAATCAATAGTAACGGTGTGGTGTAATGGAACAATATTATAAATAATGGATAACGAGCGAAAAGTTGAGCAATATCGGTCAAATCTATGAGAAACAATGAAGGAATAGTAAAGTGAACAATGATCAATGGAGGGAGTGAGAAAGAAATAAAAATATTAAAGATTAAGTCCGATGTGTGTAGTTTTTGAAAAAAAAAATGTGTATGGAGAATTTCCATATAAAAGATGTGTAGTAAGAAAATTTAATTTTAAGGATTAATGTGTATATGGATGTCCATATTGGTCATTTTGTTTAGTGATAAAATTATAAGAAAAAATTAATTCATTAAGTGTGTGCACAGAGAATAAATGATGTGTGGAAATAAAATTAATAAAAAACTAAAAGCTGGCTTGTTATTGGCTTCCCAAAAGATCCCTTATTTATTTGTT